AGCCCTTCCTGGGTCTTTAGTGACAGGCTGGGGCACTTGGAGAAGGAGGAACAGGGAATAGTGAAGTAGGAAGTGACTACTTCATGCATCTTGGAACATCAGGCCAGGCAGCCTGGACCATCAGTTGGGTGACAGATCACCCTCCTTTCTAGCTTTCTTTTATCCTTGAAACACAACTTAAAGTATCACCACTCATTGAAATCTCTTCATAGTTCAACCTCTGTATCTATGTGTGTGTGTGTGTGTGTGTGTGTGTGCGCGCGCACGCGCGCACGTGCATTCCCTATTACTTCAGATCTCCCGTTATTGTGGCACTTATCACATTCTCTTGGAAGTATCTGTGTACATATCCATCTCCCGCACCAGACCATGGACACCTCAGCACAGTGACTTCTCATTCTTAGACACGGGAAGTGTCCCTGTGCCTACTGAAGAAACACAAGGCCAGCCACATGGCTAATGCACTCTGATGAGCATAAAGAAGAGACCATGCAAAATCATGGTGCGACCCAGTTGTACATGGCACATCCTCTATTACAGTCGTCAGCCTTCCCCAACTCTTCTATATCTCCTACTCAGCGATGCAAATACTTGTAATTTTCTAAACATGCCATGTTATTTCACGCAGCTCTCTGCCTTTAAATCTTTCAAATTTGCACACATGCCCACTTTGGGGAGGGGAGGGCTGGCAAAATCCTACCCTTATCTCAAATCTCAGTTTATTTATTATTTTCCCCAAGAAAATCTGACATCTCCTTCCATTCTCCCTTCTTTCAAAGTTGAACTGGATGTCCCTCCTCTGTGCTCCCACAATATCCTTCCTTTTTACTGACTGGCCAGTTTAATCCATGCTCTCCATTTTTTCTGGAACAGATAATGACCGATGCCCACAGCAAACTGAATGTTCTCTTGACAGCAGGACACACTGGAATGCCCACATGTTGCTGCTCTTCCATTCCCTAAGCTGGATGCTTACTGAGATCCATTGTGTTTGCTCACACACCTATTTATGCTAGTGTACCTGTTAGTGTAATTAAGTAATTTAATTAGATGTGACTTAAGTGAATAGCATATGAGTGAGAAAAAAAAGCTGTATTTTCTATGAGAACAGATGGATGTGTTGGAAAGATAAGCTGCTAAAAAATGTGTACTGCTGAATTAGATGTAGGCAAGAGATCAGATAAAGATAGGGAAGGAGTATGTAGAAATCTTGAAGGATTTTCCCTCAGATTATTTAAGTGCCCTGATTTTTAACTCCACTTTTATAAAATCCCAAACTGGAAATTGTTGAAAATGCCTTATGAGAGTGGTTTTTGGAACTCCTGTCAGCATACTCATACCAAAATAGAAACCTTTAGCCCTACAACAAAGATTAGTGAAGTGCATGCATTTTAAGTCAAATAAAATGTGTATGGTACTCATGTATCATTTTCACCTGTCTCAGTAATAGACTGTATTGAAATGATTGAGATGGGGATGGGAGTAGAGACTGTCTCCTTCACGAGATTGTGAGTTTCTTGAAGACAGGGACCAAGTCTTGCTCATCTTGGTAGACCTGTGCCTGGGGATGGGAAGAATATTTGAATCCTAGAGGACTTTCTCTCCAGGGCTTTCTTGACCCAAGGGAACTAACTGCTGCACTGCTTTTTGTTCAGGGCATTTCAACAATTAGGTGTCTTTTTATGCATTACAGCCACCAGGGGGCAATGTAGCCGCATTCCTTTGGAATCGCCGTCCAAGAGCAATGCCCCCAAACTAGATCCCCTAAAATGTGATAAGCCTCCCTAAAATGTGTTGGAGAACTTGTGGAATGAACGTCTCACCACGGGAGCTGACCCGTTCCATTTTTTCTAAATAATAAAAGGACCAATCACCATCCCATTAAGTTAGTTATTAAACCCTAGTCAATTTCTAGAAGGAAGAAAACAAAAGAAAATAGTAAGAAAATTCTAAAACCCTCATGCAAATGTTGCGAGTAGTATCAAGGATTGTAAATTGGTGCAATACAGGCCACAATGTCCTACAGTGGAGTCTTGGAGGAAACACTACTGAGAAAGTCATGGAGAGTGTGTCTAGATGACTGGAAAGATGTCAGCCCTTTCTTCCTTCCCCTGAATGAATCTCCTCCCAGTTCTGATGTACTGGAATCATAGGCTTCAGAAATTAGGCTGCAAATTACTTATATCTTTTCAGAAGGAATGTCCTCTCCCAGGAGCAAGAGGGTAGTGAGATGAAAAAGAATCAAGACATTGCCTTTAAAAGAAAGACCCTGGGAAAATGAAAAAGAAATGATTATTTTACCTTTCAGTGCATTGCCATGCTGAATGACCACTAAACTGATGATCCATGAAGTTAAAGGATCTTAAACCAGGCATCTTGGGTCCAAGGGAGCTGAGGCCTCCTACTTCACCAGTCTTTGGACGTAATTAAAGAATATCTGTTCCAAAGTACTATTTGAGGATTGATTAAATCAGAACAAGATCAACAGTCTAGTTTACAGTTATCATGGAGGTTTTGAAACAGTTGACGTAGAAGCTGAGTGATTTACTGCATTTGGGGAGTCGACTGACCTGGGTTTGAGTCTCAGCCCTGCCCATGACAATGACTAGGGTCAGATTATCTCTCTTCTCTCAGCGCTAGTTTTATATTGCCCATCTGAACATGGGAGAGGGAAACTGGACAAATGATCTCAAAACTTCCCCCAGGTTTAAAAATCATATATATTTATTTTCCAGGAAGTTGCCCTTACAGATTTGCCCTTAACTTCCTTCTGTTTTAAGAATACAGCTTTTTAAGAGGCAAGGAAACACACACACACACACACACAACAATCATGCAAATTGCTATTTCTCCATCCACACTTAATTTACCTTTTCTCTTAAGGCAGGATCTGGCAGGGTTCAAAATATGGTTGGAACTGATACCAAAGGATTTTTTTCCAATAAAATAAGAACAGGATGTTACTGTTTAAATCCAATAAATTCAAAATGTGCTAGTTTGTGTGCAGAACAGAAACTCAAGCCCAGCATTTGCTCTCAGACTGCTCATAGTTGAAGGCAGGGTGGTAGCTTACTCAAAATGAGTCAGAAAATAAATATACTGACATTTCAAGACTGGACAAATATGTAGGCTGCCTTTTAAGTTTTTGACTCCATTTGTTTCCCACCTTCCCCTGGAGAAAGGCAGTCAATGAATGAATACTCAGATATTCAGTGTCTGTCTGGAAAGCTGGCCGTCTGCCAGAAATACAATTAGGTGTGAAAAAAAGCTCCATCTCTCACCTCCTTAGGACATCACTTCTTTCGCCCTTTCACAGAAGGAAGACCAAAGTTGGAATGAACAGTGTGGCCCTTGGGCGTCTTCATGGTTCTCTGGCCAGAACTGTCCTATTGATCTGTTTGTGACATTGTGCAAGGAGTTAAGGTACAAAGGGGTGTGAGGCCTTGTGACTGCCCTCAAGGTGCTTGTCCCTAACAGTAGCTTCTCTCCTTACTTTTGCTTGTCCCAGACACTGGGGCTTAGAGAGTTGCCCTCTGGAGCCCTAAAGTACAGGCCATAAGCCTTGTTACCTTGGGCCTCCTCTTACTTTTTCAACTCAGGGCCCATCCTAGTTGCTGAGCACCCAGAAGTACTATAGGAATGCTCGGGGATGGACTGAAACAAGTCTCTGGGCTATCATTGGCCATCTTCTGGGGCTGGCCTTGTTTACTTGACTTTGTGAGGAGGAGCAGTGCGTCAGTGGGTCCATCTGTAACACAGGAATATATCATGAGCTGCCAAGGGGGTGAATGCATGTAAACTCCTCAGTCCCAAGTCTGGCGCATAAAGTGCGGGCAAGTGATGAGCCTGGTGATTCCATAATCATCGTAGATGATGACGCTGGTGTAGGAAGTCTGGACTGTGGAGGGTGACAGCCTGGGTTTGAATTCCCTCACTCATAATATAACATTGAGAATGTCCGAAAGCCTCGACTGTTTCAAGAGAGAAAGCAGGACTCGATGCCTGAGCAGGGGGTGCACCAGGCTTAAGGCAGAGTGCAGAGTGAGGACCAAAGAAAGTTAACCTTCGCAGTTGTTACTGTAACTGAAGACGAGCTGGGTGTCTGCGGCCACTGGGGACCATGCTGGCACTCCAGACGGTTTCAAGGAGGTCCCAGAAGTAGGAAGCCTTCCTTGGAGAGGTGCAGGGGCCCGTGGGAGGTGGGGGACTCTCCCGCAGCCGCCGGGTGTGCGAAAGGGGAGGGTGAACTTGACCTCCGGCGACGCGCGGGGCGTGTCCGTCCACTCCTTGGGCTGCAAGGTCCTGCCTCCGACCCGGGCTGGCAGAGCCGCTCCCGCGAGTTGGGGGCCGGGCCGGGGACCTCGCCCAGGCGGCTGCCGGGTCCCCTGGGTTGGGCGCTGCTG